CTGGGCCTCCCCTGGTGGCGCAGTGGTTGAGTGCTGGGCTGTGAAACTGCCCGCAGCCTCTGCAGCACCTGTTCAATTCCCGACCGCCGGCAAGGATCCCACATGGTGCAACAGACCTCTCCTGTCTCGCCCACTGCTCCCCTCAGCAGTGTATTTCATCAGTCTACCTGTTCTGTTCCCCACTCTGACTCTGGTGAATTCTCTCACCCTCCTGCACTTCTGACTGTACCCAGTACTTATATGAATAAATAATTCTTAAAAAAAAAAATTCACTAGTCTTTTGATGGGTGTGATTTTTATATACGATAAACACAACAAATAAGGGATTTATAGGTGTCATTATAAATGTGTCTTTCATCAAGGTATTAATGGTACTAAAACATTAATAAAAATGATTATACGATGGTAGCGAATATTTCCTCAATTATCTTTTCTTTTAACACAATACTAGTTATAAAATAATAAAATACTAATTCTATCAAAGAAAACAATGGAGAATTCATAGAGAAACAGGAAAAATGAAATTTAATGACAGGGAGTCACTAATATCACATTTAGGAAGTTAAATCTTAACAGAAAGATGGCATGATGTCAATTTTTGACCCAAGTCCAAAAAAGTAACAATATAAAAAAAAAATAAGTGCTAAATGGGAAATGAGAAATAATACAGTAATGATATTTTCAGTTATGATATTTACTTGAAATTTGCATATCTTCTTTCTTGTCAAATTGGGAAAGCTCTAAAACTGTGTGTAGGAGTGAACTCACTATCATTTAAAGGCCCTGAAAGATCTCACAGCAAGGAATATAGAACATATCATTATTTCAAAACTTATTTGGCCATGAGATAAAATTTTACATAACACCTGTTAATACTTACCAAAGGCTCCTTTTTGCAAAGTTTTATCCTAGTAAATTAGATCACTTTAATAAAAACAAGAAGTTTTGAGATGAGCTCACTATCAAAACTGTTTTGTAAATATATGATGATGCCCATTTCTTCTTCCTTAAAGGGAAGAGAGTGATTTTCCTTCCTTTTAAGCCTCCTCTAAATACAAAACGGTATAATTTCGAAGTGCTTAAGAGCAGATTTGACATCTTATGTCAAATCTATTTAATGTCATGTCCCTATTTAATTTTTAGAAAATCTGAACCAGATCAATCATGTACGCGTAAATGTCCCCTGCTTATATACAATAAACGTAGCCTTCTTAATTTATTCTTAGTTATGTACATATTTTTGACATAAACATATTCCCTGTGTGAGTCATTTGCTTAGGGGAATCTTTTTCATTGACCTTGATGGTCTTGCAGTCTCTGAGAGTGTCTCACTATACTAAAAAGCTAAATTTGAATTATTTTTTACATAATTCATTCTCTTTCTCCTTTCCATTAGCATGAATAATCAAGAATTCATGGTATTATGGATTTTTAAATGTCAGAGATTGTAAAGCTGTCTTGCCTATTACAGTAAAAACTTCATTAAGGGCTATCATGTATTCAAAGTAGTGTGTAATTCAAAGCAGCTGCATATCCAGCTCCCCCTCTCCAGATGTACTATTGTCCTTTGAATCAAAACATCAGATAATCTAAGTACTCTTAAATTTCAAGTCTCATTTCTAGGTGCCAGGAATTTCAAGGTAACTATGTTTTAGTAAAGTTACATATCTCTTTGCCATCAAACCCATAAAAAATGATGCTTTTCTACCAGTCCATGGATCTCAGAGGGATAACGCCTGTTGGAGGATTGTTCAGCCCTTACTGATATCTTTCACAAAGCCTTACAATTTAAACTACACCTCAGATATATACCAAATGATAATTCTTTATTTTTAAAGATTTTTGGTCACAGCAGGAATGGCTTCTTTCTCACTGAAGTTGAAAGTATTCATTTGGGTATGGATTACTTGAAATTTCTTTTCTTTTAGCTATGAAATCTGTGTGATTTGCTTTTAAAAAGATAACATAGATCCACTGAAATGCAATTTTTAATAGTTACATCCCATAAATTAAAACAATGTTGGTTTCCTAATATGAACGTGTGTGCTTGAATCATTTTTCCTGAAGAGGATACATTTATGATTAAGAAAAATAAGATTAAGTGATTATGGGAATGATTATCAATTAATGAACACAAAGTATATATCTTACAGGATCAAGCCAGGAGAAATCCTCACTTAAATTATTCTTCTTTTATCACATAGTAGCCAAAGACAATTTAAGATTAAAATAAAAGCTGGTTTCATATCCCTCTTGTCTTTCTTCACGATGGTGTGTTTTTATAAAGTTGAACTTCTCTGTCATCAATAATTTTGTAAATTACCTTTAACAAAGGGAAAGATAAAACCTATCTTTATGTAAACCCTTACACTTCACCGAAAGACTTATGAGTGTTCCAAACTTACGGTTTTGGCACACCAACTGCGTAGCGTTGAGGGAGCAGAAAAGGGGTTAGCAGAAAGTGTATTTAGGACGAATGCCACCCACCATCAAGTAATGGTTTAAGTAGAAAGTAATCAGAGGGAGACCACAGCAGCTAAATTTCAACCAAAGATATTCTAGGTTTAGAACAATAAATAATTTTAATCAGGTATGTTCCAAGGAGCAAGTAGGGCTCCAACGCTATAACTTAGCCTGAATAAGCACTTTGAAAGTCTGTCAGATCAGCAGTCCCTCCAGAGATACAGCACATCACTTGACCTTCCATTAAATCCTGTAACTCTTGGTACAGAGAAGCCCAGATGTTATGAAACCTAAATGCCACAGACCAGAAAACATATCTAAATTAATGCAGACACCCTTTTTTACCTACATCAGAATGTTTGTCGTAAGATGAAGAGTGTTATGGAAATACTGACAGACTAAAGGAGTGGGACACACATACAGCCTGAACACCTTCCTGGAGTCCTGCTTTATTAGAGCCAGAGCTGCCTTATAATAAGGTCTTTTTAGTGTGTCAGTAACTAAACACTCTTGGTAGGGATCCAATGTGAACCACCTCTCCAGGAGTCTACAAGGTGGTAACGTGACACGCTTCCACAGAAACCAGTGTCTACATTTGATGAATAAGTCATTAAGACAGTCTCTAGGATGCTAAAGGGATTACTTTTCTTATCAGGACACACAGCCTTGTATATATGCTGCAAGCTGCACTTCATCATTTCCAGGGAACTTCTGGCCTCAGTATCAGAGTTTATCATTTGATGGTATAAAACTACGGTGAGGTTGATAAGGGACACTGAAATTATAGTGCAAAGAATGAGTTGAGGCCAAAAAGTGTAGGAATCCTGAGTTTTTTAAATCCTTATCCATTTCCCACTGATGGTTCACTTTGCCTAAAACACACAAAAAACTATACAGTATATGTGGATGAGATACACTCAACATTCCAACCGCAAACCTTGTGATTCTTGCTAATAAATAAACTTGTTGACACAAAAAGACAATTTGTCTCTAGTTGCCTCTGCGACTCCTTAGGAATATTACCAAGAAAGTGAATCTCAAGGTAAGAATGGTCTGAGTATTTTCACTATTGTCACCTTGCCACCCAACTGCTTTCCAATTCTTGTTTCCTCACGGCTCCAACATTGGGCTCTACCCTCAGAGTTGCACTAAAGTAAACACAGCATTTACTGGTGTGACCAGCTGTCACGACAGCCTCCTCAAGTGGCTAGGACACTGGATAACCTAGAGCAGTTTTCTGTTTCCCAAGCAGAGGCCAGCTCCTTACAGACTATGCTCATGGTTTTAAGAAGAAAGTGAAATCTGGTTCAACTCAGACTCTAGCTAAAGACTTCTGCATTAGAAAGCATAATTCACATTTACTGTAAATGTCATCATGCCTGTGAGCTCTAGTGTGTATTTACAGTGTCATTCTAGGGTTTTTCTTGATGGATGTTTTAGTCCCCCCCCCCTTTTTTTTCCAGGAGTTCCACATATCAAAGCTTTGGGATATTACTTTCTAGTGATTCTGACAGGACTGATAGAGCGTGAGGCATGGCCTCTTACTTGAAGATTTTTGGCTGTTATTCAAGGATTCACTGAAGACAGGTTTTGCAGTCACATTCCCCTTTATCATGAATACAGTGAACAAAAAAGCCCAATGCATCCTCAAAGCATGTACACTGAGTTAGCATCCAGGAAACTTTCCCTCAAGCTGTTAGCACAAGGGAGGAAGGCTGTTAGCATAAGTTATTCGCTTCTCTGCAGGGGCCAGGAGAAACCTTGTTAAGCCATAATTTCAATTCGCGGTGATCTGTGTTGAAAAATAGGATGAGCAGATTTTCATCTGCAGATTCCAAGAGGTGTTTACCTCCTCTCTGCTCCCCCGTCCTCTAACCCCTCCCAGGCTTCATGGTACAACCCCTATTAGCCCCGATGGGTTTTAAATAATCAAAACATCCAAGCACCGGGTTAGTTTTTGTGTTTGCCACCAAGGGATTATCCAGTAGAAAGTGTCAAATACAGCAACACAGAGGCCGCAAATCAAGAGGGGGTTGGGTTCAAGATCTAGAGAAGTGGCAATCTAACCGGCAAGGGGAAGGCTGTAGTTCATGTGTGAATTTTCTCTCTGGGGTTGGCATAAAATGGCATCTGCCTCTAGGTAAACAGGACTAAAGCCCAGACCAAGGGAATTTCCGCTGACAGAGTTAAGAAACCTCGCATGCAGTACCTTAGAGGTGCTTCAGACACCTAGTGCAGGAGGGCTCCGCTGGGAATGGGGTGGTGCCCCTTTTTCCACAGTTCTCCACAGTCGGGGGAGCCTGCTCCCTAGGACTGCTCTGAGCCTTTCTCTCCACTTCTCTCTCTCACTCACGACTCCAAAACTGGGCTAAAGCTGGCGAAATGCCCTGTGATGGGGCAGAGGGGCTGAGGTCAGCTGGGGGTAGGGGAAGGTCTGAAGGTAGCACTATACAGAGTGGGGCTCGCTTGGGCGCTGAGGAGGGTCCCAGGAAAAAGCTGGGGTGGGACCTCGGGAAGGGGGCGCGTGGGGCACTCACCTGCTGCTCCCGCTCGAAAACTGCGAACTGTATTGCCTTCGCGCAGGGTCTTAGGGCGCAGGGGCTGCGAGCCCCGGCCAGAGGAGTCTGGGGTCCAGGCTGCCTCGGCCTTGCCGCCGCCGCTGTACCTGTCATAGAGCCTTAGCATGTGCTCTGACACCTTATCGTGCGGTGGCAGCACGGGGTCCGAGTCGTCACCTGCCGTGTGGCCGCCTGGCACTGCCTTGCGGAGGTCTGGGGAATGTTGCTTGTGCCTGTCGCCCTGCCCCAGACTCACGCCGAAGCAGCTCAGCCACAGACAGAACAGCCAGTGCGCCCCAGCCATGGCGAGGTCCGGGTGTGGCGAGGTCCGGGTGTTGCGCGTCCGCTCTCCGAGTCGCGCGGGGACTGCAAGAAGACGCGAGGGGCGAGCGGCAGAGTCGAAGGCTGAACTCCAAACTTGCTGGGGAGAGGAGCTCCCGGAGTCCCGACACTGCCTGAGCAGGACAGCCACTAGCCCGACTTTTTGCGCTGGCAGATCACCGACTGGCAGGTGGGCTCTTCCTGGGGCGCAGCGCGGACCTCACCAGCGCAGGGCGCTGTAGACGCCTTCTCCACTCGCACGCTGAGAATGAGCTTAAGTCGCGGCGTGTGTGGCCAGGGTGTTTCCAGGATCTGTCTGTACCCTCCCTCCACGCTTTATTTTCGGTAACTGCGGGTCGAAGTGGCAGCGCTGAGGACTGAGACCAGCGTTGCGTCGGGCGCACTGCCCCAGCAGGGGTGCGCGCAACGGTCCGGAGGGCGCTCGATCGCCTTTTCCAGGGAATCGAGCAGCCTTAGTACTGCCGGACCGAGGGTGTGTGTGTGTGTGTGTGTGTGTGTGAGAGAGAGAGAGAGAGAGAGAGAGAGAGAGAGAGAGAGCGCTAGCGTGTGTGTTCTGGGGAGGGGGAAGGAAGAGAGAGAGAGAGAGAGAGAGAGAGAGAGAGAGAGAGAGAGAGAGAGAGAGAGAGAGAGAGAGAGAGAGAGAGAGAGAGAGAATATGACTTCCTTCTCAGGCTGATCTCCACAGTCCACAGTCAATCTCGCCCTCTATCAGCTTCGCCCTGGCAGGGAGATCTAACTAGGTTATAGCCAGGAAAGAAGGGGGAAGCAACCATCAAACCAGCAGGGGGAGGGAAAAAAAGGGAAGGGGTGGTGGTGGTTGATTGGGGAGAGGTGGAGAAGCTCTAGGAGGAAAGAAAGGTATTTATTTGCAATCCCTTAAACAACAGTCAGTGATGATATCCTGGCAAGCAACAGGGCAGAGGAAAATACATTCTTGCTGGCTTCTTTCTCCTTTGATTCAAACAAAATCAAGAGGTGAGCACAATTCTCATTTCCTATCCCGAATCTTTGCTGCCTAGGGTTGCAGACTTTGCACCTGTGCTGGGCTGCCATCCCTGCCTGGCTTTGTGAGAGATGATCCATCTGCTTTCCTCTCCGTCTTCGCTTTGCATCTCCCTCCTATCTTAACAAATAAACAAGTAAACATGCCACAAACACTCCACTTTATTCCCCTTCCAAAGTTTTCACTGTAAGGTGGTGAGTTGGGATGAAATGCCAGGACTCATGGGAGACTCAAATCCAGAGCAGCCTTAGACTTGCAAACTAGGAGATCCTTAGTAGTTCATAGGCATCAGTAGGTCTATGGCGATTGAACGACAAGCAAACATTTTGCCCTACATTTGTCATGGCTAGGTACTTGTTGTTCTTTGTATTTCTTGAGTATTTAGGAAATCTTCATAGGAAAGTCCATTTTATAGAGGAAGAAATTGAGGCAAAGAGATGGTAGAACTGAGGTCCATATTCAGGATGCCTAACTCTCACATTTGCCCGGTACTCAGGTACTCACTGTATTAATAATGAAACTAGAATTTAAATTGAAGTTTCAAAATGACAATGCATGTAAATGTTCTTGGCATTATGCCTGAATTGTTGCAGTCCAGGCCTGAGTAAATCTGTCCCGCAGTTACCTGTTCCCTCTGTGGTAACAGAGTGGGGCTTATTGAAAAGATTTAGGCTAGGGGTCTCCTTTGGGCTTCCAAATCTGTTTCCTTTTTGTAGGTAACAGCACGTCCCTTTTAGAGTTTTGTTTGGATGAAAATAGAAAACTGTTCTGGTGCACAGACTAGCCTTGGGTAGGGGCTCAAGCTCTTTCATATACCAAATTCATTCCAAATGCAGTCTACAGTCTCCCTTCTCAGTCACTTCTCAACCCATTGTGGTTTAGATTTGCCCTTAGCCACCCCCCAGAACTGTTCTGCAGATAATAACACATATTTCAAGGGTGGCTGTGAGGATTAAATGAGATCATGTGTGTGATCTTTGCTTGGCATAAAGAACATAATAGCTTTTGTGATTAATAATGGGCACCCAATTGCAAAATTCAATAGGCCCTGGAAGTGCTCTCCCTCTTTGATTTTTTCCTGTGAATCTTTGATTCTTTCTCTCTCCTTTCTGTTCTCTCTCTCTCAGTTCTTGGAGCTGTCTCCTCTCTGTAGGCCTTTTTCCAGTGTTCCTCACATATTGATATTCTGTCCTGGGAGGTTGCTTTGCTGGTCACCTCTGAATTTTTAAATATATAGTTGTGGGTCTTCCCAGTGATTGTCCACATTGCCAAAAGTTCACCTTTCTCCCCTCTGGAGCCATCCCTGAGACTTCCCTACCTTTAACTCTAGAGCATATCTCTCATAATATTTGCCACTTTGGTTTTTTTTTTTTTTTTAAAGATTTATTTACTTATACACACAAGAACTGGGGTACAGGCCAGAGTTAGGTGTGAGAGGATTCACCAGAGACAGAGTGGGGAGCAAAACAGTTGGATCTACTGAAATACACTGCTGAGGGGAGCAGCGGACGAGTCAGGAGAGGTCTGCTGTGCCATGTGGGCTAACACCCTGGCCAGGGATCAAACTCATGCTGTAGTGGCTTTGGATAGCTTCATAGTGCTGGGTTTTAACCCCTTGTGCTGCCAGGGAGGCCCAATATTTGTCACATTGTACTTGACTTAATTCTTCATTCATAGGATGGTACTATGGGGACTAGGGTTGACTATATGTCTCTAATGCCTACCTCACTTCTTCCTAGATCTATGTGTCTAGATATATGTTTTCTCATTTGAGCCATAAGCATGAAACAATAGTCCTCTCTTATTTGGTTCTTGTAAAGAATCATTGGGTAGTCTGTGTCGAGCTATCAGTACAGTGCCTAGCTCACAACAAATGCTTGAGTCAACTATGAGCTAAGAGATTTGCCTATATGTTTTTGCCTAAAGCAGAGGTCAAGTCATAACCATTTTTATAATTTAGTGACCAGACATCACATCCAGAATAAACAAAGTAATGAGGAGATGTTAAACAGGTAGATTAATCCCTAGCCAGAACTCTCATCTATAATTGCAAGACTGGAATAGAAAGTATGGATGCAAGCCAGCAAAATGACGAACACTTATAGCAGCCAAATCCTGGGCTGAATGTGGCTCATGTGCAACTAACCCACACCTAGGAAGACAGAGAAGTGGATGTAAACAGACAAAACCAGCGGCAGCATGTCCCGCAAGGACAAATAAATGGTACCCATGCCAGACCTTCTTAGTGGTCTCATAAGGGAACTTAATGAAACACAAGATGAATTGGTAGTAGAACTCTCATTAGAACACCTGCAGCCCCATCTTATTATACATCAAGACCCTGGCACTGTGCTTCTTTTGTTAAGGGCCATCAATTTCAGATCTGGATGGATATTTTCCCCCCTGTTATTCTTTTCTTTTTTAAAAAAGATTTATTTATTTATGCATACAAGAACTGGGATATAAGCCAGAGGTGCAGGGGATGAGAGGATTCATCAGAGACATAGTGGGGAACAGAACAGGCAGATCCACTGAAATACACTGCTGAGTGGAGCAACGGGAGACAGGAGAGGTCTGCTGCGCCATGTGCATTAGCTCCTAGGCTGGGGGATAGAACTCATGCTGCAGTGGCTGGCAATAGCTTGATAGCACTGAGACTTTAATCCCTGAGCCACCAGGGAGGCCATGGATTAAATTTTTTCATATGTTGCCATCTTTGGATATCTTCCCCACAAAAGGAATACATCACAGGACTCATAATTTCACTGAGCATCTGGCTTACTTGATATAGGATTTGTAGCTATTCAGAAAAATGAACTTCAGAATTAAATACAATGGTGACATAATTACCCTGTGTCTGATTTCTCCATTGAGTCAGATTAGTTTAAATTTGTTTTATTTTTTTAATACTAGAATTTCCTATTTTACGCCAGAGATTATTGCTATGACAGCCAGCCACTGGACCAGAGGACACTTACCAGTCTCTTTTCCTAATATAATGAAAGTTAAAGAAAGACAATTGAAAATAACAGCAAACACAAATTTGGAATTTTAGTGGATTTTATTGAATTGAACTCTATATTTGATGACAAAACCGTGTGTGTGTGTGTGTGTGTGTGTGTGTGTAAGTATATATATTATACATTTCTTTTAGCTCTCTTCAGCACTTTATATATTTATGTTCTAAAAATTTTCTATCAACAACTACTAATGAATTATTTATATAAAATTGCATTATCACTATGGGGGAAATATATAAGGAGAATGTATTTTAGACTGGGAAGAGTTTGCTGTCCTGTAGGTAAATTCAAGAAGCCTCTAGTGGTCAGGATCAAGGCCAATGAAGGCCACATGGGATGATTAACAAATAAAGGAAGTATTTTGATAGTTACAGTATAGTATAGTATATAGTATAGTATAGCGGTCAATCATATTTTATAGACTATGTCACAATATGCCCTTAGTGAAAGGAAATGGAGAAAGCAGAGAAGATTTCCTGGAAAAAGTGGGGCTTTACTTAGCCTGGAAAAATGAATAGGATTTTAGATAAACCAAATAAAGTGCTTGTAATTTAGGAAAGAGTAACACTAACAGATAAGTTACAGAAGTAAGACTGGAACTTGCCATGTGAAGAAGGTAGTGTCTGCGAGGACCAAGACTAGCTTGATTTGAATTGAGTATGTGTATTAGAGAGCACAGGGAACTAGAGATGGGGTGTGCAGTAGAATGAGTTTCTGGAGGAGCTTCGATGTGAGATCAAGAGGAAAGGAGTGAACCATATGATATTTTTGAGAAAGGAAGTTTTCTAATGGCCAAAACTCTCCCAATTATCTGGAAAGTGTCAATAATTAATAAATTTCCTGCCTCTGGATTTATATAAACATAAGGCAGATGACAATTGGGAGAAAGAGTTGATTTAAATCCCAGAAGTTTGATTGAAGACATTCAATTTTATTAGCTGCAAAATTATTTGGAGATCTATCTATCTATCTATCTATCTATCTATCTATCTATCTATCTATCTATCTATATCTCGATATATACACCTCCAATAAATTATTTATATGTATGTATATGTGTGTTTAGTATATATACTATATATATTATATATAATAAAATTCAAGGCACTTATTTATTTCCCCCTGCTGTTCATATTTGTTCAGTGGTTTGACAATATCATTGCTAATGATTGTGTGACTCTTGTCATTTCCCTCTTTCTTCCTGCAACTCCAGAAGTCATCAACTCAGGTCCTTGTTGAAAGAAGAAAGGAGGAAAAACCAAGGCACAAGCTCGATCATTCCTTTACATGAGGACAAGCAAATGCTTTCCCAGCCGTGGCAGGTCTCTCTGGTATCTAGCCGACAAAAACCTTATCACATGGCCACCCAACCTGCAAAGGGGACTAGGGGGTCAATTATTTTGTTTGTTCCTAGACACAATGCCACTGCAATAGATGCTGAATTCAGTTGTCAAGGAAGATGGTGCAATGGAACATGTACATTAATAGGGTCTTCTATAAAGACCCTTCCAATGCTGAGATTCT